GCGTGTTGCTGATGAACACCCCGAAACACCGGCTGTCCAAATTCTTCGCACTAAATTACGCGAAGTTCCATCAGGTAAATTTTTATATTATTTATATATTATATTATTTTTTGTATTGCTTTTATATAGCTTTATTTTCAGAGATTTTAGCAGAAATTCCTGATCGCGTCAATCTCAAAAATGTATTTCCCGTGAACGACTAAGAAATTTACCACCAAATCCAACTAGAATTTCAAGATTTAAATGAAATTCCTGATGCAACAGGAAACATGCATCTGGTGGGGTAAATTTTTTATTTTACGACTCGATTCATGACGACAATGTAGGAGAAAGAGTTTTGGTTTTTGCAACAGAAGAAAATATAAGAAATTTATTTAAAAGCAACACATGGTTTCTTGATGGCACATTTAGTACAGCTCCAACAATATTTTTCAAAATTTTTGCCATTCTTGGCGTCGTAACGCAAAGGGATAGTAAAGGTAATTCCAATGACATAGCATTACCTTACGTGTATGCTCTTCTGGAATCAAAATCAGAAAACTCTTATACGCAAGTTTTGAATGTTGTAATGACCGAAGCACGTCCACTGGGACTTGAAAATTTACCGGATGTAGTGATGACAGATTTTGAACTGTCAATCATAAATTCTATTAAAGAGGTGATGGGAGAAAACAGAGTCAAATGTTGTTTTTTTCACTTGTGTCAGAGTTTTTATCGCCACATTCAAGCCGAAGGTTTACAAGCCGCGTACATCGATTCGACAACTTCCGTGAAAAAAGCCGCGCAAATGATTTGTGCTCTAGCTTTTGCTCCTACACAAGATATTCCAAATCTCCTCGAAATTTTGCGTCCACACATTGTTGATAATTTAAAGCCAGTATATGATTATTTCAAAAAACCTACGTTTCGGGTATATCAGTACGAGGTCGTCCTGGCCAAGGTCGCAGAAGTGCTGTAGCTCCACGATATTCGATAAAATTATGGACCCAATATGAATAAGTCCAGCAAAGACGAGCTCGAACCATCAATGCGTCGGAGGGATGGCATAATAGGTTCCAATTGGTTGTAGGGAAAAAACATCCCAGCTTGTATGCTTTTCTTACGGAATTGGCAAAGGAACAATGTTGCGACAAATAGAGCTTGGACAGTAAATAAGAAAAGGATGGAACAAAGATAGAAGAAGAAGAGAAGATCAAATTTACAACATTGTTTCGGAATACGGAGAATATAGACACAGAAATGATGCTATGGGTTATTTGCGGACAATCGGTTATAATATTTAATTTTAATGTACTAGTATTGAAAATCAGCAAATATAAAACAAAACTTTTAAATTAGTTAAATAAAACATTATTTTTGAAATTTTGGGAAAATAGTTCTTTAGGAACGTGATTTTTTTGGAAAATTTTTTTGGGAATTACTACTCCTTGGGAATGTCACTTTTTGGGAAAAATACTCATTGGGAAAAGTGTATACCAATCATCTAAATATTTAATTGTGAACATTTAACTCAAATCACAACCATTGTTGAAATTTACTACTGTCGTTATTAAAAAATATACGTCTTATGTGCGTTACGTTCCGAGCAGGAATAAGGGTTGAATTTTATTAATGAATTAATAATTGGAGACAAGTAGCTGAATAGTCAAGTTGGTAAGACTTGACGTTTATTTTTTATTGTGGATAAGTGTCAAATTATGAGAACTACGGGTTCTTATTAAATAATTAATGCATATTCCCTTTTATATGGTGTCTGTTTATTCAATATTAAGTTAAGTTTATCTTTTTACTTACAATGTATAATTGAAGCGTTGAAATTTTACAATGTAATTAGACAGCAACCTGTGTTATACGGACGTTGCAAAGGTTGATGTTGTAGGTTTTAAATAATTTTTCAGTTCGTTTTTAAGGTTTACACACTTTTTAACAAAACGACTATTAATCTCTATCACGTTCAGTTAATTTATAATTTTTAATATATTATTTCACAATATATAAGACCTAAAATGTTTAAGAAATTAGTCTCTTTTATATGGAAATGAAATATAAATTTAATTAAGAATTAAATTTGTTTAAAAGAATAAAATAACCAAGGTAATAAAATTTATACGACAATTGTATAAAATAGGGTTAACAAAATTTAATGTTAATTTACCTCCGTATTTAAAAGAAACTAACTTCTTTAACACTACTTTTAAGTTAACACGAATTTAAACAATTGAAGGGCCGACTCGACGATACCGTTCGGATAGAAACTCACCGGAGTATTTTGACAAATGCTCATCATTTTTAAGCCTTTATATACTAAATTATTGAGAGCAATTTTCATATGTGGGGAAGATTATTCATTTAAAATTATGAAATAATGAAATAATTTTATAAGGGAAATTTTAACATCAGTCATAGGTTATGTGCTTTATTATATATAAGGTAGTTCAAGTTAAGTGGGGGAAATCCAATATGGCTGTCATCAGCTGATTTACCGGAGGACAAACAATGCATTTAATTCAATGGGACAAATCAGTTTTTTAACCATAACTTTTTAAATATTTATTTTTGAACCATAGTGTAATGGAAAATTATTCTTTATTTATCGAAATCTATTTTTTAAAACAATAAAATTTAATTTTTTGGTTTTATTGTTTTAAAAAATAGATTTCGATAAATAAAGAATAATTTTCTATTACACTATGGTTCAAAAATGAATATTTAAAAAGTTATGGTTAAAAAACTGATTTGTCCCATTGAATTCAATGCATTGTTTGTCCTCCGGTAAATCAGCTGATGTCAGCCATATTGGATTTCCCCCACTCAACTTGAACTACCTTATTTGCCTTACTTATACTTGTGTAGTATGACTGCTGTTAAAACCTCTTATTATAATATCCTAATTGAAAATTTATTGTCTTTTGAGAAGATGGACAATTAATTACCTACCGGTTATTAATTGTCATAATAAAATGATAAGTTTTGTCTAGAATAAAGTTAAGTTATTCTCATAATATTTTAATTGTAAATCTATTGTCATTTTATACAGTTAGACAATTGATTACCTGTCGATTAATAATTGACATAATAGAATTATAAGTTTTGTCTATAATTTTAAGATGACATAATTTAGATCATATGCATTGCTAAACGCATTGTCATCTTCAGATTCACGCATGCATATATTTATATTTGATCAATTGTTGAATTATATTATTAATTATATTTTTGTTTATTTTAATTGAGTTTAAGACTTCCTAATTTGATTATTTAAATATTGAATTTGTGTAATTAATAACAATTAATAATAAGAATAATAATAATAATTATTATTATAATAATATATAATTTAAAATTAAAGTAAAAATTAAAATTCCTCAAAAATAGAGTTACACGGGATGTAACACTTAATTAAAAAATTCATATCTCGTGATAGAATCAATGGATTTTAATGAACGTTGCATTTTTGTAATCCTTAAATATTATAGATTTATTTGAAAAAATAAAAAAAACTTATTGTTAAAAATGACTAATTGTTATTGCCAAACTAATTGTTTAATTGCAAAATAAACAATGTTCTCAATGTTTTAGAAAGTTCATTTTAATTTTATTGGTAAGAGAATTTTATAAAGATTCAATATCCGTTTCCAAATTTCGTGAGCCGCAATTAGGAAAGAAGTAATTACATTTTTTTGTATTAATTTGTTAACTTTGAATAAATAAAAAATTATAAACAATTAAAAACTGAAAAATCGGCCTCGAGGGATGTCTTAAAAATTTATTCCCCTTTAATTTAAAACAAAGAACACTCAAATCGGTTAAAAATTGTAGTCTGTAGACAATTTTGAAGAGTAAATTGTAAAAGCACTGTGACACTGTGTGGACGCGCTGTCAGTAAACGTGCCGCGCGGTAAAAAGACGTACCGCCCGCCAGAAAAAATGTAACTACTTCTGTCCTAATTGCGGCTCACGAAATTTGAAAACGGGTATTGAATCTTTATAAAATTCTCTTTCCAATAGAATTTGAACGAACTTTCTAAGACGTTGAGAACATTGTTTATTTTGTGCTGGTACACTTCACGTATTTTGACTCAGCTGACAAATATAAATGAATTCTGTAATTGAAATTCTGAATTTACACGAAAGACAAAGAAAAAATAAGCTTAAGGTAATACGCTCGTGAACCCACTTTTCTATAGAATTTCATGAAATTTGAAATCTGAATATTTAATAACAAGATCTATGTATTTGCAAAATATTAAAAAAATTGACCGTTTCTAAAACAAGATATTTAAGTTCAAAGTTTGTTATTTAACATGGTTAACCTATGAAATGTGCATGTAAACGGCACATTTCTTCTAATAACTTCTAAAATTTTCTATAGATTGTTTTAAAAAACTAATATATTATAAATGAATGTTTGAGAAATTTATAACAAAAATATAAACCAACATTAACCGTTTTGTTTAAAAGATATAGTATTTTAAAAATTATTAATTTTAAATGGTAAGTACTGTTGACGAAAACGTGTGGCAACGTCGCACTATGACGCTATTAGAAAAGTGCGCGAAAAATTTAAAAAATGAAAAAGAAGGGACTGATGTTTAATGTTGTAAATGTTGTTTATTTAGTAAAATTAAAATTGTTATAATGTTTTACAAATATTAAATATATTTTTTTCACATTAACAATACATGTTATAAATTAAAACAATATGAACGATGGCCATAAACGATTAAAAAATAATTATACATATTTATAAACATACAAGTTTTGAAAGTAGATAATTTATATTGCATTAATAATATTCAGAATGCAATAAAATGATTCTATTAACAGCCAACTTTTAATATTAAAGTCGATAATTTTTAAAAAAATAATATCAGAACATTAATCGTATTTATAACTTCTTTTAAAAATTTTAAATGATTTAAAATAATCATATTATAACAGACAACTTATAATACTAAAATTGATATAATAATGTATTTTTAAAATACTGTATAAATATTTTAGTATTTATTAAAAAAGTGACTAATCTTATTTAAAACTCTTATATCGCCCGTAATTTTTGGTTTTCCGTTTGACTTTTTTTCTTTAAATAATTGAATAACTCCTGTCGTACCAAAGTCAGCCTTAACTTTTAAAAGGTTTTCGAATGTTATTTCTTCTGTTGCAATTTTTTTTATAATAATATCAGATATCACTTTTTTCAAAGGTTTTAGAGATGGCAAGGTAATACTTTTTATTACACTATCGGTGTAACTGGTGCAATTATTTATTAAATCTTTTTTGTTTAGAAAACTAGATGATAGTTTTTCGAGTATTTTCACATCATAACATGCTTCGTGAAAACTTTCTAATTTTTCTTGCAAAAAATCTTCGGCTAATTTTTCTAGTTTAAACATGTTTAAACCTTTTCGATCCGGAAAAGCTTTTTTAAACAAAGTTAGAGAATCCGAAAATCCCACAATACCATCAAAGTTTTCTATCATAGATGACGTAGTTACTGCTTGGAGAAAATAAGAAACATCAAATTTTGCATTGTGAGCAACCAATACGCACGGATTCAACTCTGTCAAAAACTGTTGAAATTTAATTAACGCTTGTTTCAATGGGATAGATGTTAGTGGTTTGCCATACAAAAATAAATCTCCATTAATGTTCTCCAAACCTGTAATTTTAAAGGCTTCAGGAGTTACAGGTTGTGTTGGATTTATGTAGGTTTCGAAGGATTTTTCTCCACATTTTGCAGCTATTTGTAAAATGTCTGATTGTTTTGACAAACCAGAAGTTTCTAAGTCGAAGTAAACTAAATTACAATGTTCCACTGAAATAGGATTATTTTGCAGTTTATTTTTTACAATTAGAGGGTCCAGAACAATGTGAGGTCTTTCAAAATCAACTTCAAGCCCGCAATTTGGTTGATACTGAATTCCTTCCTGTCTTTCATTTCGTTTCCTTGATGATTCTGTAGATGCATGTAATGAAATTCTTCGTCTTTTAGTTGCAGGCAATTTCGCTTTTATTGCCCTTTTCTTTCTTACTTCGTCCTTTTTGGTAACAAAAGCAGATGTATGTTTTCCTGGAGATAATGACAGCTTTTCTTTTACATTTAGCAAATGACTATCTCCCTCGTTTTTTGTCGCAACCGCACTTGCTACACGGTAGCTGCATGATTCTGACAAGCTGTAGGAATGATTTTTTGGAGATTTATGAGCTACAATATTATGAAAACTCTCATTTCCTTGGCTGGAAGCTGCAACAGAAAACTTTGAGGCATTGTTCGCATACTTGATGAATATATTTTCTAAAACCTTATACAATTTCGAATCTTGAAGTATTATTTTTTGCGGCTTCAAATCACGCTTACACCAAGAACCGCATTTTTCATGACGATTAAACAAATGATCTGGGATTGATCGAAGAGTATCTGCTAATTCTTTAGCTTTACCTTTGTTTTGATGAACAGCGTAACCAAAACATTTTTTGATGTGACGAACAGTTTCCGTTTTCATTTCTTTAAATTTACTTTTTAATTCCATAATATCGCCATTAAAATGTTTATTTATGTGGTTTGTATCGGCAAGTTTAAAAATGTGATCTGAATTTCCTCGACGAATTCCAGCTATTGTCGAACTATCCTCATCACCTATCAGAACTCGTACTTTTAGTCCCTCTTCATCTAAAATTTTGCTTCCATTTACGAGTTGAACTCTAACACTCGCCTCCATAGCTTTAGCACTTCCTTCGTGGTTTTTCCGACAATCATGATCACTCTTTGCGTGACCCTTGTTGCAAAGTGTGCATTTCCGATTCCGAACTCCGTAATCCAAAATTTTTCCGCTAAGAAATCCTATAATAGAGCCATAACCATTTAGGCTGTTGTAACTCCGGCCATTCCCTCTTTTACTCCAGCCCATATCGTAAGAGACTATAATGTTACAAATTTCTTCTATGGCTCTATTAAATTGTTCGTCGTTGTTTTCAGGATTTTCAGAATAAAAGACAGCGATAGACTGTTGAACAATACTGTACTGAGGATAAATTTCATCAAAAATTTCTTTCATAATTTAATTGTGTGTGTCAAAAAAAAGTGATTACATTCTCTCCCGTAGTTCTTCAATTTTTTCTATAACCAATCTTTTTTCCTCTTTGGCACTAGATCTACAACTGTCTTTAGCCGTTTCCTCAATTTTAGGACCAATTTCACGTTCATATCTTTTAAAAAGATTATTGGATACTGCATGAATATTCAGTGTAGTTAGTAATTTATTTAGCACCGTGCAACCGATTCCTGAATGAACTGCACCTAAAATTAATAAACTTATTTAATAACAGTACAAAATTATAATAATTATACATAACATTACAAAATTAAATTCATGTGAATTTTATATTTATTTAAGATTAATTTTTTTTATTAATTAAAATTTGAAATGAATTGAATTGCTAATTAATAAAAATTCAAAATTATTGAATGTTTTATTATTTACAATTTTATGAAAATTAATTTTTTTTTATTAATCATAATTTTTATTAAATATAAATAATAAAGTATTATTAATACTCATATATGTAATCACTTTAAATAAAATTGTAGATATAATATTTAGAAATATTTATATTTTAATCAAGTTTATATCAAAAATACAAATTGTATGAGTAATAAAGTTCAAACGTTTATTTACTATTCTTATTTACAATGAATAACCGGAATTTGTATATATTATCACTTTATAAAAAAATTGAGGATACTTTATTAGAACAAAATAATTAATATTAACTGTTAAAATACATGCGTGCGTAAAATAATAATGAAAACTTATTGATAATAGTATAAAAAAATAAATAAAAGTAATAATAAATTTACCTAGGACAGCTTTTGTGTTGACATCAGAATGTTGTTCATTTTTAACGGTTGAATGAAATTTGCCTGTAGGCACACTTGTAATTACGAAACATGAATTACAAGAAACTTGTAAAATTGAATTTAAACCTAAACGTTTTTCATGGGTTATATTTTCCAAAGATAACACTTTCTTACATTTGGAACACTTCAAATTTTTAGCAATTTCTTGCAATTCGACTACACGACGACCTATGCACACTTGCTTTACGTGGAATTCATGATTTTTTTTAGAGAGATTCATTGCATCTACACATTTTTTTCGGTGTTTGGAAACATTTGCTTTTGCGAATTTCCCTTTTTCCCGAAATTGTTTATTCGAAAAATGCATCTCCATCTGACAACTTATTAGAGTTCATTCACTGTATATATTTCGTATACCTACATTACGCAGCACTACAAAATTGCGACGTTGCCGCACTTTCTAACCTGACTAATATACTTGTGTGTGAGCGTGTCTGTACATGGGGCTGGCTATGTATTCAGTACAGTCAGGCAAAAGAATATTGAAGCAGGTGCTACAGTAACTGCACCATACTATAGCATGCTAGTAAAATATATTTTTGAGAGTGACTGTCGCGAGCGTACTACCTTAACATTTTCATTTGCCCATGTTGAAAATACAACATATTATAAAGTAATGTTCACATGTAATGTTAGTAATATTACCATGTAACATAACAATAATAATCAAATGTTCGAATTAAGGTAATATTATTAATAAATTTCCTGGAGTGAAATGAAAATTAAAACCGAAATATTACTAGCGCCACTGCCGGGAATTTCCGGGGGTAAAATAAAAATGGAAACCGTAAAAATCCGGGAGTAAAATGAAAATGAAAACCGAGAATATCCTGTAACCACTCCCGGGAAATTTTCCGTCTCAATATCGGAAGCTTTTTCACATGCTGAAAATTTTACATGGTTTATGTAAAAAATTATCTACGCAAAGACACAAGTTATTTTGTGTTTGATTAAGTAAACTAAATAATTTTATCGAATTATCATCTTAATAATAACACCATTTCCAGATTCAAACGCGTAGGCATTGTGACACCACAATGGTCCCCAATCTGAAACGCTTCTAGCTAACAATAAGTGTAATAGTATATGCACATTAAATGTCATTACTACTTTTCCGTACAGTCTTTCGGTATTAGCAACAAATTGAAGAAGCAATTTATTAGCAAATTCTACTTCACTTACTAGAATTTCATCTTTTGTCAAGATATAAATTGCTTCGACAAATAAGGCCCGGTGTTCAAGAAAACAATCTGGCAAAGATACTTTTAGAACAACCATACTATAGAAAAGAGTCCAATTTTCCCATTCTCGGGCTTTCCGAAAAAGATCTAGTGAATCTAACAACCTGATGCGGTACTATATTAACACTATCTTATAGTGTATATATGTTGACAATGCCCGCAGTCACTGGACATTGTCGACATTGCCCGATCAATATCTAAAAATATTCATATCATTTAACTTTTCGGTCAATGTCGACATTGCCCGGTCCAACTTGGTCAATGTCGAAAATTCTATATAATAGCTTCATACGTTATGATACAAAAATAATCACACAATAACGTATACAAAATTTACATTTACATTACATTTTTAGTAAAAATCCTTAATGAGTAACGGAATTCTAACTTCAGTCAAACTAAAATCAGTATCTAGTTAAGGAAATTTAATGAAATGTAACTGAAAATTTGGGAATAGTTTCAAAAAGTATAAAGAGTAACTGAAAATTTCGAAACTGTAACAAAACTTTCAGTTTTAAACTATTTATTGAATTATGTTTATGAAATTTAATTACTAATAAATGAATGATTAATATTATTTGATTGAATAAATAGTTTTGTGTATAAAAAGTAAGAAATAAATATTATTAATATTATTTATCAGTTATTTTTGACCAAATTTATTTATAAACCGTTAATAAATAATTTTTAAACATTAGCATTATTATTCAATATTTTTAAGTTTAAATAATTTTTTTTCTGAAAATCAAGTGCAATAGAAAAAATTTTAAGACAAACTTAGAAATAATTATTTAAATAAATAAAACTTCCGTTGCTTGTTTCTGAAAAATCCTAAAAACATTTCTAACAGTGTATGAAAGATGCACCTGCAAGACAGGATAACTGAATCGTCTTTTTTTATTCGTAAATAACATTGCCCAAAAGAAAGTGGGCAATGACGACATTGCCCGGGCATTACTGACTATGCCCGGGCACTGTCACATTTTACTAAATTTTGTTAAAAATACCCGGGCAATGTCGACAATGCCCAGTGGCCGTGGGCATTGTCAACAATGTCCAGTGACTGTGGGCATTGTCGACAATGCCCAATAATCGACAATGACCGTAACATATATCTTAAACTATAGAATTGAAAAAAACTATTAAATATGTCGATTTAAAAAGTAACCCGTTATTTTCTAGTAAAGCTATGATTTTTAAGGAAAAATTTACTATGCGTGAGTCTGTACTGGTTTAAGCATTGAAACAGTAATATAATTTTTTTTAGTGATCAGATTATTAAAAAATGAACATACTGGATATAATAGAATAGAATCAGGTTTCAGACCACTGTGAGTCGCCTGTCAGAAACGAGACACTTTGTCTAGACTTGTATTATACATAGCAGATATTTAAAATAGTTTCGGTTTTTATTCACGAAATAAGTATCGGTCGGCTAAGATATCGCATTCCACAGAAATTTTGCCAGAGGTTTTGATTAATGTGAAAGCTTGTTACGAATCGGGTCAGAGGGCTCCTGAGCATTCATTGAATAAAATATTCAATGAATGTATCGATTCACAAAGTAGGTATTTGCGATAAGGTCTTAAGGAATTTAATAATCTAACATTGGAAAGTTTCTTGTCCCTTTTCTCTGCTTTTTCGTTCACAAAGATCCGAGTATCTGGTTAAATAGACGCGCTATTAAAGAAGAGAATGGTAAATAATCAGTTGAATAGAAATGATCGAGTTCTGTACATTTTAGTTTTAAAAATATTAACCAAAATGATTATTCTAAAACACAATTTATTTAAAAAAATTTTCCTATCCCTCATTAAATTAATTTTTTTACAGTAAAGATAGTAATCATCCTTTTGATAGAAAAGACGTTTTGTATTGGGTGAAATTATCATTAAAGAACAGAATATATTTACGTGACCATTGACCTTCCTTAGAGATCAAAATAAGTATAAGACTAACACAATTTCGTTTCCCTTGTTTTATTTGCTCTAATTTCGAAAAGGTTTTGTAAATATATGAAAGTGTACACAAGTCTAATTGTAAAAGCTTCAAGCTCGAATTGTAAAAACGTAAATCTTTTATTATTTTCAAGAAATATAATGAGAAATATCTAAGATAGTGTACTTAGATACGGCGAGGCATTAGTTACTTCACTTCAATTTAGGGGGCCTTGTAATTCTTATGTGAACTTGATAATTTACGTCAAGAGTTTTCTACGTAATTTACGTCCTCTTATGAATTGAAACGTGATATCCATTTAAACGATATAAATATCGCAACACAACCTATAAAGTAAAAGTATTAGAGAAAATATGTAATTTCTGATTGTGTTACAAAATATTAAAATAATTGTTGATATTGTTAATCTAGAAAAAGAAAGTGGACAGCCCTGGCAATTGTATAAAATCAGTTTTCAAGCAAGTTTGTTCAAGAATTGCTTAGAACTGCTTAGAAGACGATTTTTGGTGCAAAGCAATGAAATATGATGAAATAAACTATTGCTAATAAAAGTAAATCGGTTTTCAGTTGATTTGAGCAAGAATGAAGTTAAATAATGGTTTAATTTAATAGTAAATAATGTGTAAAGTGAAGTGCTAACCTGTCAGTTCAAGTGCGTGTTTCACATTATTTAATTTCGTATATAAAAATGTACGAATTAAAAAAAAACTTAATTAATTTGACAAAAGTAATCATTAAAGCATTTAGTTATTACATATCTAGGGCAAATTAATGTTCACTTATTGAATAATTAATGTTTAAAGTTGGAGATGTCACTTCTACTGTGAGATGTATGCGTGTGCGTAAAAAGCGACTTGATTGAGATTGGACTTGACTTTGACTTTGAGAGAAACGAGTCCCATCTTAATAATCATTCTAATTTTATCCGTAATGTAAA